CCCCCACGGCTGAAAGGGCGAGTATGTTTGGTGTGACGGGGATTCGAACCCGCGACCCTCAGATTGCTAGTCGAGCGCCCTAACCACCTGGCCATGCCGGGCCAAAAACAATAGCATCTCCTTTCGAAATACTGTATCATTTAATTAATTCAACAAAATTTTTATCACCTTATTGTTTATTTAGAATCAAAATTAATTCAGCATTTTTGTTTACGGCCCATTTTTGCCCCCCCCCCCCAGTAAAAGCTTCATGGTTCCCAGGAGGCCCACGGCTCCCACTTTGGGAAACACTGTTCTAAAGCAACATAGTTTAGTGTGATGACCTCGCTAAGGTAGAAAAAATTAGACATCATTAGTCCATAAAATTCGGTTACACCATATATCATCAACAACTGCTCTAGAAAGGAAGTGGAATGCACAGTTTAATCGTTGATGTCTATACCGTGGCTCGAGAGCATGGACTCTTTGTACTCAGTATGAGGATTCAGTATCTTATGTATGGCCTTCCATAAATGTTTGCAGGATTCTGTTTGGTACTACATTATTGATGTGCATATGTTTTTGCATCATCGAGCTACGTTTTTCTAGCTTCAGTGACAACTTCAATTGGTGTTAGAGGTTGGCCATTTTGATTTGTTTCGGCAACCCACTCTTTTTGTGGAAACTGCCTAATCAAGTTCCATTAAGTTTCAAAACTGTGTAGCCCTTAGCACCCGTTTCACATTGACACATTTTCAGTGCTGCACTGATGTTTTGGTTGGTGCTATAGTAACGCTTTATAAGTGAAATCTAACATGAGCAGATGTTCAACTCAGAGTCATCTCAAAGAAAAACATTAAACAATAAAAGTTTCTAACTGTACGTAAGCAAAGTATACACACTGCCACTTAATAGGAAGTTTTGTATTTACAGCCAACGTTTAGCCCATTACTTGATCGACTGATTGTTGTATGTCCAAAATGTTATATCCTACCAATGGAATTATGAAGCTTAACATACACCAACTAACTTTATACTAACCCTTTATTAATGGAATATCTGAAAATACTGTGAGCTTAGTAATGATGAATACAGAACATCATGAAGTTAAAGTGAAGAAAATAATTTATGTGTTGATGAAAATGTCAGTAATAAAATAAAAATGTTATTGACAATAAAACTTATGGTGAGATTGACAAAGGACTGGAAGTTTAATTTTCGAAAAATAAAAAATGATGTAATTTACGACACCAAAACAGCTGCCAGCTGGAAGAAGAACATCTGAAAACGTCTTTAAAGAAACACTAAGTCCAAGAATCTGCTTTCAATCTATTCATGAAGAAGAGCATTACGGAAGAAATACTGAGCCGGACAAACAAGGATTTGGAAGCTGTATTGAAAGAACAAATGGAAACATTTGGATTCTAAAGAACAGCAATGTTTGTTTTTGCTTTTGGTGTGATGGTGTTAGCTGGTGTTTATAAATGAAAGAATAAAGAAATCGAATATTTTTCGAATCGTGACCAATTTTTCCACAAACGATGGCACGTAACAGATCTCACGAACTTTCAAGATGCTTTGGTTTGGTAGTGCTAAAGAAAGTGGCAATATACAATAAAAAAGTATCTTCAGTAATGTTAAGTACCACCAGAAAATGTGACAAGTAATGAGCAACTAACAAATTCTGTGACATATGCCCCCCCCCAAAAAAAAAACAAATGTTCTAATTAAATTAGAAAATATGGCATCCAAATATGAGCTTGTTACGATAATGACACGTCCTATGTTAATAATAGGCAAATGAATACAGGAAGAGCGGAAGATCAATCAGAAGAAATTTTTGTACTGGACATGATCCATGGATTAGAAAATATATTTTTCAAGTATGATCTTACGAGTTTAAAGTTGGCATTTGCTGGAAACAGTGAAAGAACAGACAGCGGAAGTGACATCAGGGATGGTCTTCGTAGAAGGACGTGTAGAGTGATAAACTAACGTCGCTTTTACTGAACTTGTTGTCTTGATTTGATATTGTCTGAAGAAGGGAAACATATCTGTGCTTCTAATTTGACAACAATACCGCAGCCGAAAAGCCAATGATGGACTAAAAAAGGTACAAAAGGTGAAGTGAATACTGCTGACCGAATGCTAGAAGTTTAAAAGAAAGACAGAGGATTAATTACTGTTTTCTATAACTTAAGCATTTCTTGTCTAAATATATATTTTTTTGCCTTAAGAAAATCCGATACCAACACGAGAGATTAGTATTACAAGAAAGCACACTCATTGAGGGATTTGCCACAGAGAAATGGACGACAAATTGTTCAAGAACAGATAAGAAAAATGCCAAAGTTTATGGTAAAGAGTATCCTAAGATCTCATATGACAACTGTGATAGTTGAAAACGATTTTTTTGGTTTATCTTTTCCTTTTTAATATTCATACCACTCTCATCTACAAAGGTTTTACTCAAATTTTGATCTTTAAAATAGTGAAATTATTGTGAAATAAACTAAACACCAATATACAAAAAGTAAAAATGTTTAGAGATTACAAATACTGTAATTTTTCACATATAGTGCATTGGGTCCATGTTAACCTAACCGGTAGCGAATAATATAGAAACAGTCGATAATCTGAGGGTTAAATAGGATTTGTTATATAATAAATATCATTTAATTGGATACGAATTTGTTATAAAAATTAACGATTTCATTAAAGTTTTCAATTTCTGTAACTTTATTTTCAGATTTGCCTAGATTACTGATTACTAGTTTTTCTTTCAGTTCAATTTGACACCTGTTGCAGTTGGTGGTGTTATTGTGTCCAGTGGGACAGTATATGCTATTACGGCTCCAGTATGGGGATATATGTGTGATCGTTTGGTGAGTCTGTGAATCGAACAAATAACTGAAAACTATTTTTTTTTACGACATTAACTTAAAAAAATGACACATTATTTTGAAAAAATATTCTACTTACAAAACAGAACAAAACTACGGAGATTAAGTACGTAATATGAATACGATTTTGGAACCTCAACACATTATTACAGTCCATGCTGCCATGTTCAGTCATGATCTATCTGATGACCATGCATCCTGAACAAAAAACATAAAACACTACAGCAGAGTTTCCATTGCAAAAGACTTCGCCGTAAGACTGTCAAGTCAAAAGGAAATATCATAGCTATCTACTATACGAAGACAATGGTTTTCCAGCGCTCGTTTCAGCAGTCCGATCACAAAGAATTTTATAGGTGCTGAGTCTGGCTACATGAACAATATGTCTTTGTATAGAATAGCATTAATACACGTTTAATTTTCCGATTGCTTAGGGTATGCAACTGCTGAATGCAGGTATGACTGGAAGCCTTATATTGGTGAACCCAGGCAGAGATCCTTCTTGGTTATGATATATACTGTTGCCTGGAACCTGTGTTCTTGGATTCTCACATATTACAAGATACAACACTTTGCTTTCCATGGTTGAGATACGACTTGTTGCAGGTCTCTTTCTGGATGGTCCTAGTTGTATAAGTTGATCAATATTCTTTTTTTCTTTCTTTTCCAGTGTCATTAAGTACAAGGATATCCTAATCTCGGAAATGTGCATTGAAAGAGTTGTTACATATGCCCTTTTCAAAAGTGTTTAATTTTTTGGTGGCATCACGCTACCTGTGATACGCCAAACAATGTCAAAATGTAGTTCTTATACATTCCTTTCCACGTTGACTTTATGTTTGTCACATGGCTTGTTGATTTGCATAATAAATATCGTGTTAATAGAAAGCACTCAACCCCTGTACTTATCAATTTCATTGATATGATCTCAGTTTTCGAAACAGAACCTTGTATAAATCTTTGAGAAAGCAACAATAATAAAACCTTGTATAAATCTTTGAGAAAGCAACAATAATAAAACCTTGTATAAATCTTTGAGAAAGCAACAATAATAAAACCTTGTATAAATCTTTGAGAAAGCAACAATAATAAAATCCCTGTAAGAATCAGAAAGATAGAGACTTAATCTTAAAGTATAGATTAATTAAAAAAAACACAATTTTCGAGAATGATCCAGCTTAATCTCATTTTCTATAAACAACCACCTGAAATGGGCCAGGCTTAGCCTAGTTGTTAGTGTAAATCTGAGGATTTAAGGTTCTTGTCCTCTTGCTACAAAAATATGCTCCTCACTTTGGAACCATAGGTGCATTATAAGATTGACAAGTTTCGATACCCGTGGTGGGCAGAGCACAGATACTCCATTGTCTAGCTTTGTGCTTAACTTCAAACAAACAAACAAGACTGACAATCAAATCCCAGTATTCAATCAAATAACAGTAGCCCGAGAGTGGTGGAAGGTACTGTTTACTAGCTACCTTCTAAGCGCTCACAGTTATGGAAAGCAGAAACCCTTTTGTGTAGCTTTGCACGAAAGTTCTAAATCAATCAAGCAAACAAACCATATGAAACACGTCAGAGAAATAGATTTTTGCTGATTGTTTTCCTGTTTGTTTTCATACGTTTTCTTGGAATTTCTATCTTTCTACAGGTGAAATGAATTGTCAGTGGCGTTGAATGTAGCTTTAGTTTTCTCTGTTTAACTCCAAATGGTAGGCTTACGGCGCTAAAATTCGGGTTTCGATACCCATGATGAGAAGAGCACAGATAGCCCATTGTGTAGCTTTGTGCTTAACAACAACGAAAACAATCGATTTCTATAAACAGAATTTAAACCTAACAGGTTAGTTCACAGTCTAACTAGATGATACACACAGGATCCTCCTTCAGGCAAGAAAAGGCTAAGCATAGAAAGTGCTCGAAAGTGTGAAATTTTTGAAAAATGTTCTATACAAAAATTTAGATTGTAAATTTATATGATTCTCAAGTTTTGAGGCCACCTTTGATAAATATATAAGATACTATAAAACCCATTACTGGTAAGCATGTGTATTACGTAGATAAACATTCAGGTAAAACCAATCCTTATCTAATTACAGTGTGAAAACATGAAACTGCTCATAAATTTAAATAATTTCTGACATTTGTATGCTTTCTAGTACTTCGTTTGAGCTTAAAGAAAACGAAGTTATTTCTAAATTTTCTATTTGAACTTGTCTCTTTAAGATGAAGATCCAATAGTAATGTTAATTCTTACATAATATAGTCTGTATATTTAACAAGAGTAAAACTTTTACCAACATGATTGCATTTTTGCCCAGTTCGAATAGTAACATTGATTAATGATGATTATGTTCGTTTAGTCCGATGCCAAGCCTTTGACATTAGTTGCAAGCCTAATCGTGTGTTTGTCCATCTCCTTTATGGGTCCACTTCCAGTCTTTCAATCCGGCACGTAAGTTTTGATTATTCTTTACTTAGTTTATATTTCCTCAATAGAAGGCCACCTGCTTTATGAGTCCACTTCCAGTATTTTAATTCAACACGTCTGTACTTAGTGTCTAGTTTCTCAATAGAAGGCCATCTGCTTTATGGAGCCACTTCCAGTCTTTTAATTCGACACGTAAGTTTTGATTACTCTGTACTTAAGTTCTATTTCCGTAATAGAAGGCCATCTGCTTTATGAGTCAACTTTCAGTCTTTCTATTCGACACCTAAGTTTTGATTACTCTGTACTTAAGTTCTATTTCCGCAATAGAAGGCTATCTGCTTTATGAGTCAACTTTCAGTCTTTCTATTCGACACCTACGTTTTGATTACTCTATACTTAATTTCTATTTCCGTAATAGAAGGCCATCTGCTTTATGAGTCAACTTTCAGTCTTTCTATTCGACACCTACGTTTTGATTACTCTATACTTATTTCTATTTCCGTAATAGAAGGCTATCTGCCTTATGAGTCAACTTTCAGTCTTTCTATTCGACACCTACGTTTTGATTACTCTATACTTAATTTCTATTTCCGTAATAGAAGGCCATCTGCTTTATGAGTCAACTTTCAGTCTTTCTATTCAACACCTACGTTTTGGTTACTCTATACCTAATTTCTATTTCCGTAATAGAAGGCCATCTGCTTTATGAGTCAACTTTCAGTCTTTCTGTTCAACACCTACGTTTTGATTACTCAATACTTAGTTTCTATTTCCGCAATAGAAAAGCACATGTGTTCCTGTGTGTGTTTTCTTAATATTTTGAATAACTCTAATTATTACAAGTATAATTTTTTCTCTTTATTATTTTATTATATTTATCGCCAGAAATTCCCTCTGATGTTTTCTGTCCTTATTATCTTTATAGCCAGAAATTCCTTTTGACTTATTGAATTATTATTATAGTTTTAACCGATACTTTGCACAAGCTATTTTTAAAGCACATTTAGAGATAGTTGAAAGAAGTAGTTTCAATAAAGTAAAGATACATTAGTAACATAACTTTTGTTCATTGTTATTTTATATTATGCTTGTAAATAATGCTTTACAAGTCTCAAAGCTTTTCTCCTTCAATCATCAGTGTTATTACGTTATAGAAGCGTTTTCTTTAATGCCAAATGAACGTGACTTCAGGTGCATATTGTTACGATAGCGGAAGTCGCGTGACGCTGGGAGCATGCGCGCTGGAGTTTCCCGAAGGATCATTAATTTTCCTGGCAACTCTAATTTGTTCCAGGCGCCCTCTTTTTAGTATATAAGCCCAGTAAATAAAGCCAGAGAAGAAAAAAGAATTGCATAGATAGATAGATGTAGATAATTGAGTCAAGCGAACAGTAGGCCCCGTAAGTAAAGTGTGTGAATCGCTGTAAATTATAGCGTGTGTTTAAAAAAGTAATTAAGTTAAAGTGACTGTGGAAATTCTGTGTGTTACAAAGTTGTATCGAGAAAGAAAAACTTGTTTTAATTAAGAAAGGA